GGGCGCGGCGGCGCGCATGCGCAGCCCCTCGGGCCGGCCCCGGCGCACCTTTTCTGCCTCCTGCCACAGTGTGAGCGCTCCGCCGCCCACATAACTGCCGACTCCCGCTCCACCCCCGCCCTCCCCCACTCCGCCCACTCCCGAGCGCCCAGGTAAAGGCGTGGACTGCGCGTGCGCACCGCTCTCCCGGGGTCTGGGGGCGTGGTTGCTGAAAGGAAGCCAAAACGTAGAATGGGAGGGAGCTCTGGGCAGGAGGTGTGGGGCTCCACGAAATAAGGGGCGGGTTAGGATTAGGGAAAGGTAAAGAGAAGACGGGAGGCCCAAAGTAGAAAAGTAGGCCCAAGTGAAATTAAGAAGTAAAAGAGCATTTGGTTTATGAAATAAAGTAAAAAAACAAAGTCTTGACTGTGGTGTCCCGGTTACTGGAGGGCATTGTGAGTGACAGAGGACAGAAATAAAGGAGGCAAAGTATAAGCAGTAGTGGTCATTTGCCAGATGAATGGAACAGCTAATAAAAATGAGAAATTTGGAGATTGCCAGAGTGATCAGAAAAACAAATTTAGAGCCACGCTTGTTCTGCGGCCAGAAATAGGGAAGGGGATGTGTGTGCTTGAGACACAGAGCTGCTGCAAGAAAGGAAGCCTCCACTGTATTACAGCATTATGACTAATTAGCTATTAATCATTAATATAATTAATGGTACTATTAGCTAACAAGGTAGTATTTATCCAAGTTCAGAGCCAAGAGAGGCTGTCCAGAAATGAAAGTGCTTGGAGTACAGCGAGGGGAAGTGAACAGGCAAGGTGAAGGCCTAGGGTGGAGAAGACCCAAGACAGCAACCCGGAGGGTCAGGATGACCTTTTCCCACCATGAACCAAACTTCCCTGATGTTTTCCAGATCTTATCTTGTTTGGAACTCCTTATCCTCCTTCCATTATTAAAAGGACACTTAACAAATGTTCTTGCACTAAGGCTGACCTCTCTCAACATTTTCAATACAGATGCAGTTACTTCTCCCCAAAACAGCACCCTCCCCAAAAAAAACATTCCTGTGGGAAGTAAAATGACCTGAGTCTGGGACAAGGTTAGGGAAGAGATTGAAACTTTATAACTAAAGGGGTTCAAGGGCTAACTCTGTCCTTGGCCCCTTCCAAAAACACATGCTTCGTTTTTATTACCTTGGATTCTAGACTCCAAGGATTGTAATTTGGCGACTTTGGGTCATGTTCTTCAACAGTGAGTGTCTTCAGTGGATAAACACTAAAAATATAATATTTCAGCACGTAGAAAGAAAATCTTCAGGCAGAACAGGAAGAAATAAGCACAAGTAGTAAAAGGAAAGACTTAGATTCAATGTAAGAAAGAACTTGACATCCGTGGGGGCTGGTGAGCCCAGAACCTCTGACTGAGAGGTCTAGCTTTGCCACCTAGGACAGCTGATCCACTCCCCACCCTCTGCCTGGCAAAGCTATCCTGCTTGGAAGAGGGATGTGCAGAGTGATGGCTAAAGAAACGAAGCGAGGGGCGGGCCAGAGGCACAAGCAGGTAAGTGCGCGTGCTCTGCTGCAGTGGCCCGGGGTTCGACAGGCGAGCACCGACGCACCACTTGTCGAGCCACTCTGTGGCGGCGCCCCATATAAAGTAGAGGAAGATGGGCATGGATGTTAGCCCAGGGCCAGTCTTCCTCAGCAAAAAAAAAAAGGAGGATTGGCAGATGGTAGCTCAGGGCCAATCTTCCTCACAAAAAAAAAAGAAAAAGAAACGAGGTGACCTTCCAAGTCTCTGTGACTCTCCACCCACAGGCCCGCCCTCTGAAGAGCTCCTAGTAATTAGAATCGTAATATTATTACTTTCCATTTGAGGAGTGCTTTATGGTTTTTGCAGGGAGGTTATGTCCATTATCTTATCAGATCTTCCAACAACCCTGTGAGGCAGGCAGGACAGGTATTATTTCCAGTGAAGGAAATTCAGGCCAAGGTATGTTTAATGGCTCAGCCAAAGTCACCCAGCCCAGTAAACAATGGGGCCAGAACACGACCCAGGTTTCCTGACTTCCAGTGTGCTGTTCTTTCAGAGGGGTTGACAGTGATGGAGAATAATTGCAATATTCAGTTCCATGTCTGCATCTCCTTTATGTAATGTGTTTTTCCTTCTTTCTCTCTCCAGGACCCTGGCACTTGCTGCTGTGTATCTGAAGACTTGGTGACTGGTACTTTGGAAGGCCTTGGGCCCGGGGGCAGGCCAGGAGATCCCAGTTCCTCTGTTCTCCCTTAACTGTTCCCCTTCACAAACCTACCAAAAGAAAGGGGCTGCCAACTAATGTCATTACTCGACCTGTCACAAGAAGAGGGCATTTGCTCTCAGTCAGACTGCTCCTTCCAGTGCCTCCCTTCTTCAGCTGCTGGCGCTGCAGCCTGGCAGTCATGGCAACATGTAGCACCCACATCTGGCCTTATTGGAAGATCAGGCTCCTGTCATCCTGGTTTCCTGGCCTTGGATAGTTCTTCACTAACTTTCTCTTGAAGGCAGTGGGCAGAAAACAGCAGAGCCCATTTTTTTAATTTAAAAGTTTTAATAAGAACTTCTGAACACTTTGACAGTTCTGAAAACCTTGAAAGATTTAAACAGCAGCAGAGCTGTCTGGTTCCTGTAAGACGGCATGGTACAAGCTCCCTGTTCACTGCATTTCTTTGCTCCCCAAGTTTCCAGGGATGTACCCCCAGTCCATGATAATTCTTACCGACTGTACATATTTAGGGGCAGTGGCTGTGGCTCCCTGCCCACCCATTAACTAACATAACCCTGTCTTACTGCACCAGACGTGGGGCCGAGCCCTGGTCATGGTCATCCTCCTGGTTGTAGTGCCGGGACCTTTGCTCAATCACTTCACCTTTTTGGCTTTGTAAAAAGAGGGGGTTATATGACTCTTAGAGCCTTCCAGATCTGATGCCTAGGATTCTACTCTAGAAAGTTGACTGTGTTCATTAGTACCTTGTAATTCCACTCCTTTCCTAAGAATTACTATCTAATTGTCATCTCTAAGCCCTTCCTATAGGAAATTGCCCCTCTTACAGAATGATAAATCTGTCCTGGACTCCCCTTTTTCATTCACATTTTTCTCATATCTCTAAGTGGTAGTGTTTAGAGACAGCTCAGAAGGCTGGACTTTTGGCTTTTCTGCCGTGGGGCTTGTGTGTGTACATGCACTTGTGCACATGTGTGTGTATGTATATGTCCAATCTGCACGGGATGTGGGCCATGGGCCGTTTCATTCTGTGTCCCCTCCCCTCACACCACCCCCACTGAAATTAAAATAAATGCCAGGATGCCCTAGAATAAAAAAAGAGGATGTACTAAGAGGCCAGACACGTGAGTGAAGCTGTTTTACCTTGGGGACAGAGACGAGGAAGGCTATTGGGCTAGCCAGTGTCACTTTGATCTAAAGCTTGGTTTCAGCTGTAGCATGGCCTGGGAACATCACTTAGTTCACAGCTCCCTACAGCTATTGTTTGAAACATCTCAGAGTCTGAATTTTGATTACTCTGGTGTCCTTATCATCAAAATGCATTTTATAATTTTTTTTAAACCATATTTATGTGACAGTTTCTACAAATCTTTCTTCTGTGTTACCTCATTTCATCCTTCCCTCAACCCTGGGAGGTAGAAAGGACAGAAGATGTTGCTCCCACTATTTTTTTTTTAACAGCAAATAAAAGTGAGGTCTGGATTTTAAGGGTCACACAGCCAGAACTAAAACCTGGGTCTCCGGGGTCCAAGTCCAGGACTTCTCTGTGACACCATACTGCAGCCTTTTCCTGGACATCATACAAAGCAAATCGAACAGATGTGGTCTCTGCTCTC